TCGACACGCACAAAACGAGAAGTCGTACCAGCACAGACTTTGTCGTGAGCACCAACGAAAAAGGATGACTGTTGATGTCAGGTTTCTTCAAACATTATTGCAATACAATTCAATACAAAGATTCTTCTGGTTGAAGGTTGGTTGTTCAGTGATGTTCAGCCCGACCGCTTTGAGTCAACTGAACCTGGATGTGGCATGCTATAGCAGAGGTCCGGATAGGTCATTCATTCTGGTTCGAGCATGGCTTTTCATGGTGATGGGCGCTACCCTGGAGATGGCGGCGCAGCCCTTGAAGAGCTTTGGCAGCTGCTGTCCTGGCGCGAAATCCGCAACTGCCCAGGCGTTTTGGTGTAGGACAAAATGTGGGATTACATTTTCTCCCGCTTCCTTAGCAAGGAAGCTGTGAACACTGCATACATGGAACGCATGCATGGAAAGCATGGCAAGAAGAATGCTAAAGCCAATCTACAAGCGTAATTATTCATGAAAACAAGCAGGCGAAGGAATGACTGCCGAACTGCACGCCTTTGAAACATACCGTAGATACTATTGAAGCGTGCTTTGGTCAGCTTTAGCAGCATGGTTGCATCAACGTGCTAATTCAAAATGCCTCTGAGCAATGGAATTGTACTCATGACATTCACAGAAGATTGGTATAAATAAAGACAACTTCTGTTCAACATTTGAGAAGCGATCTCTAGTAGACTCTAGGGCATCATGTCGACTCCTGTGTGGCTTGACAGAACAGGTCGGTATACTACTTCTGATCTGGAGGCCAGTAGGAAATTTGCTTTTCTGCAGGTGGCTGGATTGCGCTACCGTGTGAAGGGACCAACCATAGCAACCATAAAAGGTTATATGGTTGCAACACCCTTATCAAATACGCTTTGCAAAACCCTCTAACACAGGTATTGATTGCTCATCGGTGTTCTCGGATGGGAGGTGTCGCATGTCGGAGGCTGTCGGAGTTGAGTGTTGTTAGTTGTTTTTCTTTTAGTGTTTACATACTTATATAACTTATATAATTACCCCAACAGATTATGTTTCCCCAGATAGCTGACAACTTTTCGGGTGCTTACTTCTCAATGACTGGGTGGCTGATCGGCATTTTGGTCCACCTTTGCTGCTGCTGGGACTGCCTTGGCCCCGTAGCCTTGCCCCCGTCCTCATCTTCCCACTTGGCTCCCCATTGGTCCACTCACTTGTCTGCCTGCGTGATCGGCGTTTTGTTTTCCGCTGCTGCCTCGTCTTCTACTTGTCTCCCCAACAAGGGTCGTAGACGGCACTGTCGCCACAGCCTTAACTCATTGAGTTTCTGCGTGCAAAAACTATGAAAAACTCTTGGACAGGTACATGCATGGGCGTGGTGAGTCGTGGCGTCTTTGAAACCGCTCTCAACTCACCTCTAATACTATATAATTAATATAGTGTGGGTTCGTGGTCCTTTGCTTCAGTTTTGGAGGTTCAGCAAATTCAACTAAGTTAATTGGTCGAAAGATGAGGTTGCATCAAGATTTTCATGAGTGAATGGAAACACAAATATAACAATAGCTTTTTTTGGAACGTTGGCGCTCTTGACTTTAGCCACGTTTGAACGTTGGCGCTCTTGACTTTAGCCACGTTTGAAGCTCAGCGCCAGTGCTTTTTGAGGAGGCTGCTTTTCCCCCGAATCCAACACCTTACTGTAACAATTTTTGTCTCAGAACAGATCTCACCTCCTCAAATAAAGCCAGAGCATGCCACGGGATCCTGCAGGAGTGCTGGCCAAGCAACCCAACGAACACCCGAACGCAATTGATGACACTATATAATTCAAACACTAGCCAAGGGTGGTGTGTCCTGCAAGAACCAATGGTCAGCTCGGCAGATTGATTTTGTTGTCAAATGTGTCCGTTGTACATAGCAGCAGCTCCAGTTGCAGGCCCGCTTTGTGGAGCCAAGCAGGCTATTGGAGCGGCTGAGCCTGGCCAGCCCGGGTGTGCCTTTGACGCTGGAACTTGCGCACAAGGAGCAAGAGCACAACCACCACAACGTACAAGAGCAGCCCGCTTCCGCTTTGGTTAAGATATGTTAAGATAATTGGGCTGGGCGTCCCAAGATCCAAACTGTCAGGAGGATACTGTACGTGGTTGGATCGAGGTCAAACCGAACAAATTGATTCTTGACGGTTTTTGAATGACAAACTCTTGAGCGCTAGGACCCAATCGTTATGCACCGTTTGCCTGGAGGAGGTGGCCTTCTGAGCTACTGCAAGGCTTGAGGGTCTTGAACAATTTGAGTTGAACAATTCGCAAACATGGGAAACCATTTGAATTGCTAGCACACGAGAGATTCGAGGCTGGCGGCATTGCTTAAAACACATGTGCTTTTCCTCACAGCAATAGATGGACATCAATTGCAGGCAAATGCAACATTTGTCCACACGCTGAACACTGAGAGCGGCCTGATCAGAAAGGTGGATGCCCTTGGAGTTGGAAACTGGGGACGCCTGCTCGAATCGGAGCCTGCCACATATGCTGCAGCTGGGCCTTTGTGAAGTGAACACAGTCTCTTCTTGAGAGACTGTCAATAGCGAACCGCCCATTTACCACCACATAGTTTGCCCAGTGAAGCTTTCTACCGGTGTCCTTGGATTCTTCAGTAGTTACGTTCAAGTTTGTCAGGCAGAAGCTTGTAGAGCTTGTGTCGCTGTTCTGCCGTTCCTGTTGGATTCGGAAAAGCCACTGAGATGCATTCGGAGCTTGTCTCCTGAGCCGAGCATTGCCGTGTTGCATTCTCTTTGAAACGGGATTGAGCCAAGCATTGCTAGCGTGTTGAGGGAAGCATGGCATAGCAGGCTCATGCCTTTTGTCCAGTGTTTCTTTAGTGTTGACTTGGTTGAAAGCTGCTTACACAGCGCAGTAATTGCAAAGATGAAGAGGGAAACCTGAGTGCCAGAGCAATCGACCTCAGGAATGCAGCTGCTTCGGCATTGGTCCAAGTGTTGCGAAGAACAGCGCGAGCAAGGAAAGCGAGGTAGCGCAATGTAATGTAATGCTTGTTGACTGCTGGGATCCGCGCAATATTGGGCAACTATGGGCAACTGCCATCAGCGAGATGGTATTAATTTGTGGATGTCATGGCCTGCCTTTGCCATTGACTTGAAGCAAGTCAAGTTTCAAAGCAAATTTCAACGCCTTGCTGGAGTGCTTCTGGAGACAGGCTTGCATTCAGTGCTGAAGTGAATTGGAGATCAAAGAATGTACGAGGTCATTGAAGGACAACAAATTATGCCCAAACTCTGGCTGACAAGCATTGTTTGACGAAAAAAGTTGTGTCTTACTCATGCCCTTTTTCAGTATAGTCACTCACCAATACTTTTGATCCCTTTGGATTTGCCCTATACAAACCACATCAAAAACGCGCAAACACCAATTTGCATCAATTTGCTAAGTAGCTCGGTAGCTTTGATTTTTATTGCATTGCGCGGCTTGACGGCTCACAGCCCAAGGCTACACCTCTTAGCCTTGATTTCCCTGAGACTGAACCGCTTTAGAACGAAATGCATGATAAGTCAATGATAAGTGTTATTGTCCCATTGTGGCTCAATTTGCTCATTCAGTCTCTTCAATTTCCATTTGGAGCGGCTTTGCTGCAATGCGCTATATCCACGGGCTGTTATACTGGCTTGCAGCGTTGCCCGCAGCAGCTCCTCAGAGTGTATTTTTGACTCAATGCTGTTTCCGGAACCCATTTTTAGGGTTTGAACATGTTCTATTGTTTTCTTGAAGCACGCTTTACAAGTCAGCGTGCCGAGCACAATGGGAGTTGCCTGGCTGACAACTTCTGAGCGTTGTGCACAAGACGTACGGAGATCCAACCTTCACTGTAGAAACCATGGTAAAGGACACCGGGACATATTATGGCATACGATTTTGTGAACCTCTTCGTTCCAATGTTCTAGTCATATGTCGTGGCCTTCAGGTCCTGGTGCTTGGAGATGCTCCATGGACGGACTGTGACGACGATCCAGGCAGTTTTCAAAACTGAAAACTGCCTCAGCGGTTTGGCTTAGAACTCATGAAACTTGAGACCCTTCCTGCTGAAAGGCAACATGCTGCTGCTACAAGTGAGCTTGCAACTGAATACGCAGCTGGACACGCACATAGGTCGAAGGATAACTGGCCAAATCGACGAGTTGTTAGCCATCTCAAACTGAGGTCAAAACCATGGCAGAATCAGACTTTCTTCGAGCATCGGAGGATTGGTCGCAGATCGTTTTGCACGCGAGTTTCTTTTTTCAAGAAATCAAAGCAGAGGCCACAGCACACTTGTTTCGTGCAACGAATTTGGGGCCCTTCGAAACAATGTGCTTCTCATGTTCAGTCGAATCAGAATTCAGTGAGCAAGTCAGGCCAGAAGATGCGCATGGAACAAATTCTATGTCTTATATACAAATGTCAAGAACGATAACAGACGTGAATCAACAACCAATACTGGCCCGCAATGTATTCTACTGCTATTCCAGATTGCTGCTGAGGGTGGAACACATGTGTAGCGCCATTCGTCAGAATGCTGAAAAGTGGACCGTGGCCTGGGTTGGTTGCCATGTATTGTAAGTGCCCTTGCTCTTTAAACTTTTGGAATGAGCTTGGGAAGTGTCAAGACAACAGACCTTCGGCCCAACTCAGGCAGCCCTCTAACTCAACTCATCAAGAGCCTTTCAATAGTTTTGTTTACTTGAAGCCATCCGAGTGCTGACAATCTGTGCCAGGACTTTCCCAGAAAACTTTCTGCAAGAGAATCTTGGTGTTGACTGGTTAGATTGGCGAACCTCAAGGTGTAGTAGGCTCGAACAAAGTGCTGCAAGATCATCTGACAAATGCCATGTTGCTTGCATGTTGCTGATGCGGTCATGTATTATCAACTGAAGAGTCGAACACTTTTAGAGTTACGAACAGTTTGCAGTTGGTATGCGAGTGATTGTGGGCTTCTAAGTACACAGTCAACGGACAGAACCGGTGTGGGATGGGCACGGGACATGCACAGGCGCCTTGCGTGGCAGCGCCGCTTTTAGGTAGTTTGGAGGTGTTTGCATCGCAGTGCCATTGGGGCAGAGAAACGAAGGGCTGGGTCAAGTTGGTTCAAGGGTAAAGTATGAAAATTACAGTACTCGTAGAATAAAGTAGAGTTTTTATGAGGAGACAAGTAATGAGACACTTGAAAAAAGCCGAAAAGTTACGAAAGCCAGCCTTCGTAGAAGGCGCTAGCGGAGTTGTGTCTGGCGAACGAAGTGAGTAGTTAGGGGGTCTGGGGGGGTGGTGGCCCGAGAAAGGTATACGTCAACTCGGCACATGCTGGGGGAGGAGGGTGCTTCGAGGGAAGGTTTTTTGAGGTTGTGTTGGAGGTGATTCTTGAGGGGTGGTGATGCAAGAAATGCCAAATGCATCATTTGCATCATCTGAATGGAAAGGTGTAGTTGGCACCTTGCAAGGTATAGAGACCTAGGGTAGCCATAGTGCAGCTACCAGGTATAGTACTTCAAGTTGCCTTTCCGTCAACCGCTTGAGAACCTCTACACACGCACAGCAATCCACAGCTTTGAAGTCTCATTCGTGCCTTGAACTTGTATAGGTGTGTAAGAGGTATAGCAACATAGTATTTATACGGACCCAGGGTAGCTACAAGTAGCTACAGTTCTGTTCCCGGGTATGGCGCGCATGAGGCTTCAAAGCTGTGGTTTTCAAGCTAAATT